CGGGCGCACAGACGGCGGCGTGTCGTACTTGAACGTGTTCGTGAAGCATTTGAGACGGTCGGGGTTTGCTGTCGGAGGTCTTCTGGGCGAAGACGACCACAGCGACGTTAGCACGCCCGCGCCTGAGTGCGTCGAGATGCTTGCGCTGCAGAAAGTTCGCACGCACCAGCCTAGCATTGGTTTCTCAGCGGCTTCGACTGCAGTGGGAACATTCGCTTAGTTGCGCTTTGCAGACCGTCTGTGTCTCTAGTGGTCTAGTGGGTCCTGCCCCTAGCGGGCCAGCTTTGCTGTTAGGATTTGCTCCTTGCTCCTTGCTCATACCTACAAGCCCATGACTGTCCCACTTTTGCGCAGGAAAACAAGTTCTGGCCCAAATTGACGCCCAGAGATCGCCAGGTTGGTCCAAGAAGCCCAGACAATCATCCAAGTGATCCCGATAGGCGCCGAGAGACGCAGAAGAGGCCGCAGGAGGTCCCAAGACCCGCCAAGAGGGCCACAGAACGGCCCAAGAGGCGTCCAAGACGGCCCAAGAGAGCCCCAAGACGGCCCCAAGAGGGGCCCAAGAGAGGGGAACACGAACCCATCGAGCGTTTCGCCCCCAGACGCCGCCCAGGAGGTCCCATGACGCCCCCGAGAGGCCCCACGAGGCCCACACGAGGTCCCCAAGATGTCCCACGAGGCCCCCAAAAGCTTACGATATCCTTACGAACATCCACGAGGCTTCTAACCCACGACCCAAGCGCGGTGGCAGGATGGGCCGCAGGCCACTAGACAATATGGTACCCATGAGTTATCCCGCTTGGGCCTTTCTCGATTCTTGGGCCTCTCTTGGGGGGCCTCGTGGAGACTTCGTGGGCCGTCTTCGGGACATGTTGGGCCGTCTGGGGGCCGCCCTGGGCGTCTTGGGGCGACCTTTTGTCGTCTCGGGACCCTTTTGGAGCATACTTGGCCTCCCTTGGCGTTTGCGGCTCCGTTTTCGACAACTCAGGAGCCCCTGGCATCGCTCGGACGTGTGCATTTTTCCTTCGGCGAGGACCATCGAGGAGCATCCTTGATCATTTGGCGAAAAAAACCACGCACGAAACCGAAAAAAACATAGGAAATGGACGTCCGAGCGATGGCCAGAGCCCCTCAAGTGCCCCAGCGCCCACACTTGTGGTCGACCTTCTGGCCCCGAGGGGCCATCGCCCAGCGTGCTCCAGAAGCGCTTCTCCGGAGCACGCTCCCGCCCCTCGTGCGTTTCGCCTCGGAGTCGCGTCTTGTTCCGCGTCCCCGCCTCCTGTCCAAAGTACCTTCTCAGCATCCTCAGCGCTTCCATTCAGACAGCACCGTTTCCTGCCCTCCCCAGACCGACCCAAGACGACCCAAGAGGGACCACAGAACGGCCCAAGAGGCGTCCAAGACGGCCGAGAGAGCCCCCGAGACGGCCCCGAGAGGGGCCCAAGAGAGCGGAACACGAACCCACAATGCGATTGTTTCGCCAAGGGCTCCCACGAGGGCGCGAAGTTATTCGCGCTTCGCGCTTCGCGGTCCTCGTTCCTTCTCCCCCCTCCTCCTCGTCCTCCTTTCCTCCCTTTGGGGGGGGCGGCGCGAGGGCGCGAAGTTATTCGCGCTTCGCGGAGCGCGAGGGCGCGAAGTTGGGAGCCCCAGTTTCGCCCCAAGACGCCCGCCGCCAAGGAGGTCCCATGACGCCCCCGAGGTGCCCCACGAGGCCCACGCGAGGCCCCCAAGAGGCCCCCACGAGGCCCCCCAGCAGGCCCACGGGGCGCCCCAAGAGGCCCCCCAACGGCCATCGAGAGGCTTCCAAGCTGCCTCCCAGAAGTTCCCGACAGGCCTCTTGCGAGATCCTCACGAACAGCCACGAGGTCTCTTACCCACAACCCAAGCACGGTGGCGGGATGGGCCGGCCCTTTGGAAGTTGTCGGGACCTCCGGGGACTCCTTGGGGCCGCGCCCTGTTCGGCCGTTTAGAGCCTCTATGGAAATTAATGTTGGTCTTGTGCCTTGTACGTACGAGCTTGTTGGGGTCCCTCTTGAGACGCCTTCTTCCCATATTCGTGGCCCCTCGTCGGGCCTATGTTCGGACAGATTCGATCAATCATGTGGCAGCACGAACGCTGAAGACGAAAGCTCTCAAAGGTCCGCTCGGGTCCTTCTGCGACCTTGTCGGGCGCGCACGATGGTTCCAGCGCTTGTGTATATAATAGACGCACTCAAACAAGCATGTCTACACACATAGATACAAGCATACATACACATTCATACATACATGCATGCATGCATGCATACATACATTCATCTACATACAGACATACATGCATACACACACATATATATATACATACATACATACACATATACACACATACAAACATATGCACATTCATATATACATAAATACACATGCATAGAGTATAGGTGTCGTGAAAACCAGCGCTGGCCCAAAACAGTGTGTCTAGCAAGTTATAGTGTGCAATAGATGTGGTTGTATCAGTGCTGTGCTGTATATGTAGTTCATCAGATGTGGTGCAATATGTGTTGTGCAACAGGCGTGGTGCAAACTATGCAATATATGCGGTTCAGTATCTGTCGTGCGAGCTACGTGGCCCATTCCAAGAGGTGCAGTCAATTTATGAAAATTTGGAGTCCGCTCCACTGCTCGCGCAATCAACCCACCCACCCACTCGCAAGTTGGTTTGCAAAACCCAACGTGTAAAATCCATTCAATATGTTCCGCCTATTACCGCTATTACCGTTCGCTATCGTCGAATACCGTCTGCTATTATATCACGTATCCGCTGTGATCTAATGTGGCAGACGCTGGTGCCATGCCGTCTGGTGGTCACAGGCACGCCATGGTGATCACAGGCGTCGTGCAATGTTCGGGGAAGGGCGAGGAGGAAAAGGAGGAGGAAGAGGCGGAGGAGGAGGAGGAGGCAGGAGGAGCAGGAGGAGGAGGAGGAAAAGAATGAAACTGAGGAAAAAGAACAGGACGAGGAAGAGGAGGAGGAGGAGGAGAAAGAAAAGGAGGAAAAGGAAGAGGAGGAAGAGGAGGAGGAGGAGGAGGAGGAGGAGCAGGACGAGCAGCAGGAGGAGGAGCAGGAGGAGGAGGAGGAGGAGGAAGAGGGAGGGTACAGAGGAAGAAAAGGAGGAAGAGGACAAGGAGGAGGAGGAGGAGGAGGAGGAGGAGGAGGAGGAGGAGGAGGGGGGAGAGGAGGAGGAGGAGGAGGAGGAGGAGGAAGAAAGGGGAGGAGTAGGAGGAGGAGGGGGAGGAGGGGAGAGGAGGAGAGGAGGAGGAGAGAGGAGGGAGGAGGAGGGGGAGGAGGGGAGGAGGAGGAAGAGGAGGGGAAGAGGAGGAGAAGGAGGAGGAGGAAGAGGAGGAGGAGGAAGGGGGGGGAGGGAGAAGGAGGAGGAGGAGGAGAAGGAGCAGGAGCAGGAGCAGGAGCAGCAGCAGGAGCAGCAGCATGGAGGAGAGGGAGGAGGAAGGAGGAGGAGGAGGAGGAAGGAAGAGGAGAGGAAGAGGAGAGGAGGAGGAGGAGGAGGAGGAGGAGGAGGGAGGGGGGGGGAGGAGGAGGAGGAGGAGGAGGAGGAGGAGGAGGAGGAGGAGGAGGAGGAAGAGGATCAGGAGTATGGGGAGGGCAGGAGGATCAGGAGGACCAGGGTGATCAGAGTGAGGAGGAGGAGTGAGGGGAGGAGGGAGGAGGAGGAGGAGGAGGAGGAGAGGAGGAGGAGGAGGAGGAGGAGGAGGAGGAGAGAGGGGAGGAGGAGGAGGAGGAGGAAGAGGAGGAGGAGGAGGGGGGGGAGGGAGGAGGAGGAGGAGAAGGAGCAGGAGCAGGAGCAGCAGCAGGAGCAGTAGCAGGAGGAGAGGGAGGAGGAGGAGGAGGAGGAGGAGGAGGAGGAGGAGGAGGAGGCGTCTTGGCCGCCTCGGAGGCTATCTTGAGCTATCTTGACTACAGATTGGGCCGTGTAGGGTGCATATTGGGCTATCTTGGGCTCTCTTGAGGCCATCCTAGCGGTCTTGGAGGCATCTCTGAAGCCATCATGAGCCATTTTGGCCGTTTTGGAGGCCATCTAGGCCGTCTTGGACCAGGAGCGAGGGGTCGCCTTGCATTGCGCGGCGTTGCGTTGCTTCGTATTGCGTCGTACTGGTTTGCATTGCTTTTCATTGAGTTGCATTGATTTGCATGTGGTTTCGTTGCGTTGTGTTGTTTCGGATTGTTTTGCATTTCGTTGCGTTGCTTTGCATTGAGTTGTGTTGCTTTGCATTGCGTTGCATGGCTTCGCATTGCGGTACGTTGCTCTGCATTGCTTCGCGTCGCTTTGCGCCACAGTGATTGCACCACATGGATTGCACCACATATGTTGCAAAAAGTCAATGTTTGGGGTCCTCGCTGGCTAACGTGGCTCCAAGAGGCTTCCAATCTGGACCCCAAACATCGCCGCCATTGTGGCTCAAGCGCAAGTTCCTGTACTCTTGCTTACGGTCGTGGCGGTCGCCGTGGTTTTCCCACACGCGCGAACTTGCCCGTGTCGTTTCATATCGACAAGGGCCCCAGATGGCGATTCGGATCTGGCACTGTGCGGTGCTGATTTCCCACGGCGTGCAGGCCGCGAGTTCCGTCCAGGTCCAGCTCAGCAGCACGCAGTTGCTTCCCCGCGTGCAGACGAGTTGGGTGAAAGTGGCGGCGACCGATGGCGATCAACATCCCGGGCCGTTTGGACACGGCAGTAGCTGTTTATGGGGCGCTTGCTCAATGGGGTCCCAGTCGTCTGGCTTGTACATGTCAGCCTTCAAAGATCAAGGGGTCCCAAGTAAAGTCAAGATCTGCTTGGACGACGGCACGGCACGTGCACAGACGAATTTCAGGTCGCAGCTGGAGCTACTTGGGAAAAACGCCTGCTTCTAACACCGATAACTCTTTGTCGCTCAGGCTGGAATCTGATCATGGCGTGCCTAGCCCATGGTATCTGATAATGGCACGCGGAGGGCTCGGACTGTGCATGAATCAACGCCTAGACCGCACGTATTCCATGTTCACGTGCGACGGCGACGCTGGCCAGTCTAACAACCAGCTTGGTCTGATGGACAACTGGGCATCCGAGGGTGGTTCCACTGGCGGCGGCGGCCGGTGGAAGACAACATATACGGCCACAGGGACGCCGATGCCCGCGAACACCTACGCGAATCTGTACTTCTCTTACGCCGAGGCGTCAACGCCCGCACCGACGCCCGCACCGACGCCAGCTCCAACGCCCGCACCGACGCCCGCACCGACGCCCGCTCCGACGCCCGCACCGACGCCAGCTCCAACGCCCGCACCGACGCCCGCACCGACGCCAGCACCAACGCCCGCACTGGGGTCGACGAGTTCGGCCGTTGGTGATCCCCATATGCAGAATGTACTTGGAGAGCGGTTCGATCTGATGGCGCCAGGAAGACATGTTCTGGTCAACATCCCCCGTGGAGAGCGCGCTGAAAAAGTATTGCTTCGTGTGCAGGCCGATGCTCGCCGAATGGGCGAATCTTGCTCGGACATGTACTTCCAGGCCTTGAACGTGACTGGCTCCTGGGCAGAGGCAAAACAAGCCGGCGGTTATCATTACAGCGCGTCGCAAAGCGAGGTCGGGACTCTTCCGGAATGGGTTGCGTTTGGCAAGGTCGAGTTGAAGATCGTTCGCGGGCGCACAGACGGCGGCGTGTCGTACTTGAACGTGTTCGTGAAGCATTTGAGACGGTCGGGGTTTGCTGTCGGAGGTCTTCTGGGCGAAGACGACCACAGCGACGTTAGCACGCCTGCGCCTGAGTGCGTCGAGATGCTTGCGCTGCAGAAAGTTCGCGCGCACCAGCCTAGCATTGGTTTCTCAGCGGCTTCGACTGCAGTGGGAACATTCGCTTAGTTGCGCTTTGCAGACCGTCTGTGTCTCTAGTGGTCTAGTGGGTCCTGCCCCTAGCGGGCCAGCTTTGCTGTTAGGATTTGCTCCTTGCTCATACCTACAAACCCATGGCTGTCCCACTTTTGCGCAGGAAAACAAGTTCTGGCCCAAATTGACGCCCTGAGATCGCCAGGTTGGTCCAAGAAGCCCAGACAATCATCCAAGTGATCCCGATAGGCGCCGAGAGACGCAGAAGAGGCCGCAGGAGGTCCCAAGACCCGCCAAGAGGGCCACAGAACGGCCCAAGAGGCGTCCAAGACGGCCCAAGAGAGCCCCAAGACGGCCCCAAGAGGGGCCCAAGAGAGGGGAACACGAGCCCATCGAGCGTTTCGCCCCCAGACGCCGCCCAGGAGGTCCCATGACGCCCCCGAGAGGCCCCACGAGGCCCACACGAGGTCCCCAAGATGTCCCACGAGGCCCCCAAAAGCTTACGATATCCTTACAAACATCCACGAGGCTTCTAACCCACGACCCAAGCGCGGTGGCAGGATGGGCCGCAGGCCACTAGACAATATGGTACCCATGAGTTATCCCGCTTGGGCCTTTCTCGATTCTTGGGCCTCTCTTGGGGGGCCTCGTGGAGACTTCGTGGGCCGTCTTCGGGACATGTTGGGCCGTCTGGGGGCCGCCCTGGGCGTCTTGGGGCGACCTTTTGTCGTCTCGGGACCCTTTTGGAGCATACTTGGCCTCCCTTGGCGTTTGCGGCTCCGTTTTCGACAACTCAGGAGCCCCTGGCATCGCTCGGACGTGTGCATTTTTCCTTCGGCGAGGACCATCGAGGAGCATCCTTGATCATTTGGCGAAAAAAACCACGCACGAAACCGAAAAAAACATAGGAAATTGGACGTCCGAGCGATGGCCAGAGCCCCTCAAGCGCCCCAGCGCCCACACTTGTGGTCGACCTTCTGGCCCCGAGGGGCCATCGCCCAGCGTGCTCCAGAA